AAACCCCACACCAAAAATAGTGCCGACATGGCCCAAGCGTCAGGGGGAGCTATGTTTCTGCTGCTTTCTCTGTCGACATAATTTACTGAGTGTGATTTACATGTTTTTTTATGCAGTCAACGTCAACCGTGGTCAACTAAAAGTCAATTTTCCTGTAGATCGTCTCTTCCCCTACAAAACTCAAAATTCAACCAAGTCTAAATCCAGTAAATTCAGCTAAGTCTGAATCTCTTTTTTATGCCGAAACATATAGCTGACAAAACTCAAAATTCAACCAAGCCTAAATCTAGCAAATTCGATAATCTAATGACCAATTTTTCTTCACTACTCAGCAAGTTATGAATTATTAACACACATTCCAAACTTGAGGGGGAGTGTTAAGAATTATAATAGGAAATAATTTGTTCCTATAAGAAGTTATGAGGAATAAGAAGATATTTCCTTTCCTATTTTATATATATTTCCTTGGATTAGGAATCATTTGTTTTCCTATTTTATGTTATTTCATATATCTCTTAATAATTAATATGAATTAATTATTGGAGATATCAGGTGATATATCTTTCCTTTCATATCATTTCCTTTTTATTATTTTTTCTATTATAGGATTCTTATAAGGGTTATTTATATCTCCGTTCATATCAATGAAACAATCAATTATTTTATTTTATTCCATATTATTCTGAATTTCAACATATGATAAAAATAATTAGGTCATTTAGATATATACCGCTCAATTGATATTTATTCATATATCTAACACGTAATCTTTATTTTTTACTTTTTTTTCATCCAAATTTGTAATATCACATAAACATAGCATTTTTTTACTTTAGAAAATTGAAATACACATTAACATGCATATATAAGGCCCAATATAAGTAAAAATTGAAGTTTAAATATTAGATATGTAAATACATAGAAACTAAGGGTCTGTTTGGGGTAGCTGCAGTTTATCTAGCTTATTCAGAGAAGATGCTGATCAACACCTGATTCAGATAAGCTGGCTAACTAATTTGTTCGTGAGTTTGGAAGACAACTGATTTGCAACAATTTCTGAATAAATGACAATTCTTCCTCTGTGTAATTGTGTTGTTTGCAGCAGAATTATCATAATTACATATTTGATGGTTTAGAATAAAAAAAAATTACTTCATAATATACAAAAAAATTATATAACTCATTTAACAGTGACTATCAAAAAACCTAAAAAAAGAAAAAAACATATTAAAATTATAATTAAAAGTATGATAATATTCATTTTAAAATGCAGAAGAAGCAAGTCACGAGCAACATCGTCCTTTAGGGATGTCATCGAACCCCGATCACTATCGACAATGGAATCTACTAGACTGTTTGCCCGATAATAGAGAAAGGAGACACACACACCCAAGTCCATCCACTAACACCAACACCCAAGAACCAACAACAACACCGAATAGTAGAGATAAAAGGAACAAACAACCAAGTGTACAAGTAAAAAGAAAAAAGTACAAAATTACACACTAACAAAGTGCCACTAGCAAGCACACTACACACACACATGTTGTGAAAAACAACGACAGTAAAGAGAAAAATCAGACCAAGAAAAATTCGCAAAACAGAAAACATAAAAAAACACAGATTTAAGTGGTTCGACAAATTGCCTATGTCCACGGAGCAACAAAGGATTTTATTTGCTTGAGGAATTACACTAGTCGATAACATCGACATTACAAGAAAGTACTATTTTTCTCTCCTCTCTTGCTCTCTTTCAATATCTCTCAACCTGAGAGCTTCAAACCGAAGCGTACCAGAAGAAGAACCAGGAAAGCTGCCGATGCCAAAGAGGAAACCTGGGAAACCAAAGTATGTCTATTTATTAATTTCATCATGTCATTAGACCCATTAAATAATTAGTCAAATAATTAATAAAGCCCATTAATTTTTTACTTTTTTCTTCTGTAGCAAATCATAGAAGAAATTAAGAGCAATTAATTTAGCAATTAAATTCGAGTATCAAATCCAATTTGCTGTCAAACAAGAGAAAATGATAATTTGAACAGTAAACTGGTTTCCATATTTGCAACAAATCTCCTACTTGAAGACCGGTACACTGGTTATATTATCCACTAACTGCGTCGCCATTTTATTCAAATGTGATATCCTCCACCTCTACAACTCAAAGTCTCGTTCTTCATGCCAGAACATCAGCTGAAGTCAAGTAGAACTTAAATTTCTCAAGATTAATATCCTTAGTCGACATATCATCGTCAACATAGCTTTGTACCTCCAAGCTCTTTCATAGGTCACTTATGTTTCTGCTTACAACTCCCATAACATGAGCAATATCCTGCCTCTGCTGAAAGTCTTTTTCAACAAGTCTATCCTTGTATCCTTTAATTCCATCAAACACATTCTTTATGAGGTACACAAACTTATTGTGCAATGCCTTCTTCCCTTGTGGAAGTTTTGCCAGCTCCCAAGTCTGACTCCCTGACAGGGAATCATCTTTTCCGGTCGCTTTCGCAATAATGTAAGATGAAGTTTCTTCCCATAGAGGTAGTCCTCTACCAGCATCCTCCAATAACCAAAATCTGTGTCATTAAACTTCTCAATCTCCAATACCATCATACCATCTCCGATCATCGCTTTCACCCAGATTCGAACTTGAGCTCTGATACTAGTTGTTGTGAAAGACGACGACAATAAAGCGAAAAACCAGATCTAGAAAAATTTACAAAAAAAAACACTGAAACACACAGATTTACGTGGTTCGACAAATTGCCCACGTCCACGGAGCTGCATATGATTTTATTAGCTCAAGGAATTACATCAGTTGATAACCTCGATGATTACAAGAAAACACTATTTCTCTCTCCTCTCCTCCTCTCCTCCTCTCCTCCTCTCCTCCTCTCCTTCTGTCTCTCTCTATCTCAGAGTTTCAAACCACAACACATCATAAGAATAACCTGGAAAGCTACCGATGCCGAAGAGGAAGCTTGGGAAACCAAATCCCGAGACAGATAATAAGGGGAGCTAGCATGCCTATTTATTAATTTCATTATGCAATTAGGCCCATTAAGGAATTAATCAAAATAAAGCTCATTAATTATTTCTTTTTCTCTTCTGCAGTAAATCATAGAAGAAATTAAGAACAATTAATTTAACAATTAATTTCGAGTATCAAATCCAATTTGCTGCTAAACATGAGAAAATGTCAATTTGAACAGCGGATCGATTTTCATATTCGCAACAACACACACTCACATGCCACTACCAACCCACATCAGCCACTGCCAACAACACAACCTCCACCGCCACCAACATACACGCAATCACACACACTCACATGCCACGAACAAGCACAACACACAGACACAGACACACACCCGCGCACATGCCACGACCAGCCCACAAACCCAAGCTCGTGCACAACACACACCTAAGGCCACCAATAAGGACATCACACACAACCTCCAACACATCCTCCAACCAAAGCAAACATAACAATGGAGCAAACCTAAACAACCATTAAAAAAGGAGAATCGTGCAAAGCCACAATCACCAATTTACCTCAAAAATATCCCAAAAACGTAAAATATGCCAAAGGAATCCACAATGAATATAGAAAACATTGCATTGTGGATAGCCCATTACAACAAAAAAACCCTTGAGCAAAAAATCCATTGCAATTGAAAAATTCTGCAACGGAGCAGATTGATCAACCATTGCAAAAAAAAAAAAAAAAAAAAAAAAAAAAAAATCTCGAATATAGAAAACATCGCATTATAGATGTTCCAACCAAAAGTGAGCCAACTCACCGACAAACAATCCAACAGAAGGAAAGGGATGTTACCTAGGGCAAGAGCGATCGATCAACCTACAACAAGAGCGATCGAGCAAGAGGCGAGGAAGAGAAGCGAAGGGCGATACAAGAAGGGCAAGAGCGATCAATCAACCAATGTCAAGAGTGATCAAAGAATGGAGGAGACGAACAGAAGAAGGACATAGGAGAAAATAATCCGCTCAACGTAGATTCAAGACGCGGGTTGCGGGGTCGATCCCCCGACCTCGTCTATTAAGGAAATGTAAATGACATTTTCCAATAAGCGCCCTAAACGCACAAAACAAACTAAGCAACAACATTCTCAAAACGCCGCCCGAGCCTATAAACTACCCCAAACGGTCCCTAAGTCGTAGTACTTAGATCTTAAAAAAAAATTAAATTCATGATGAAATTTTAATGAGAATCTCTGAACCTAATTTTTCTCATTCATATTTTGTTGTTAATTCTACTTATTCTATCATGAGCACTCAGTGTAAATATTCAACTCTTTAGGCGTGCAATAAACTAAAATCAATCTACTCTTATAATTAAGAAGCAATGTTGTTCCATACATGTATCAAACACAAACATGGCTCAGATATGAATGGAACATGAAAAAAAATGAATACACATAACTTAATTTAATAATTTAAAGGATTATAAAATAGTTTTAAGATAAAATTTTTAAGTAAATTATTACATCTTTCTTATTTACAAGCTAAACTGATCTCGATGCAATACAAGACATTTTGAATAATTCATATCTTATAAATCAATTAAAATTAAAATTAAATTTAGTTTAAAAAAAATTAGAAAACCGTAATCAAAATATTATGATGAGAATGGTTTTAGTTGAATATAAATTTATATTATATTCATCCGAAATAATTAAATATTAAGATTTTTTTTTTGATTAAAATAGATTTGACAGAAATGTTTTTCCGACAAAAAATAGGGCCGATTCGCAGAAATCTAGACAATGGCTGTCTTCCTTCCAAGAGGCTCTCGTGCTGGCTCGCTCTCTTGAGCTTGAACACCACGGAAGGATAGAAATTGGAAGGGCTGATGGAGTTGGAGGTCAGGGTGGTTGGGGGAATCGAGAGCTGCTTCGTTTCGCTCCCTATTTCTCTTATTGAGACCCTACAGTCTACGAGCGGTGGATTCCTTCCTCCGGTTCTTGCTCTAGAGCTCCGATCATATTCCGGCGACTTCTGGCGCGTCGCCTGGTCGGGATCCGCCTCAAAGTCCTCCAAAATTGAGGTACCTGTTATATTCCATCTATGTTTTATCACCAAAGTTCTTCAGCGGCAAGCAATGGTCTAGCAAGTTGGAAACTTTGGTTTTGGTCTTTGAGTCCTCCAGTTTCTCGGCGAATTATTTTGAATTGGTTTTCCAGATTGGCCAGCAAGTTGCTGAATGTATTTCTTTATTAAATGGAACTAAAGTGCGAGTGAAAGCAATTGGTAATCTTCCCAAAGCTTCCCTGGTTAACATAGAACCTAATAGTGAGGATGACTGGGAAATCTTGGAGTTGAACTCAGAGGCTGCTGAGGAGGTTATATTGAAGCAGGTACTGCAAAGAGCTTTCTAATGTTAAGTTTTTTGATATGCTTTTGATCGTCGTAGGTGCTTTCAGTTTATCAATTAACTCTTTTCCAGTCAAAAGATAGTAAACATCATTCAGTTGAATGAAGGGTATTTTATATCAAGAGATGGATCGTTTGCATCTTGCACGTTTGCTGTTCTAACCTTGTTTGTTTTATTAATCATCCCCTCTGTTCCACCAATAGCCTTTTTTGGTTTAATACCAATTATCTAAGTGAATTTTGGCCCATAACATTTAACTCAATTTTTGAAACTTATAGATCACCATCTTCGTGTTAAGTTTGAATTGATGGACTTCATGTTTGGTTAACTGTGTAGAACTTTGCTTGTCATTCAGGTTTATTAAACTGGTAATGCCTACTTAAGCTGCTTCCAATCTTCCTATGCTTAAAATATATTAAATTTGAAGATAATTGCAAATTTTTATATCTCAATATTTTTGAGTACATGGCTCTTTTTACGCCGTTTTGTGTGTCCATTCTATACATGATGCAGTTATCTATAATTCATGAGCTTTATTGCTTTAAAATATTATTGTAATTTGATTTTTGATTTAATTTGTTTTATAATAGCAAAAATCGAACCGAGAGCCAAAGTTTAAAAATAAAGTCAAAATTGATACGTGTAATGGTACAATGTTTTAACACAAAGCAAACCAACAAAATAAGACAAATTCAGTTTTTTTATTTTATTTTAGTCAAATAATGCACACCCCTATTGTGCAAAAAAGAGAATTTTAGAATCTTTTCCACAAATAGAAGCCATAGGAAAAGTAACCTCTCTTATCAATTTTTCTCAACTTGGAAACATTTGACAATGATGAATTGTTTAATTATTTTTTTTTTTCAACAGATCTAAGTGTAGCCCTTGGATTCCCTGTATAAATATTCAGTAAGTCATTATATAAAAATCTATCTTTCAGCCTCACAGGGTTCGCTCAATATCCATCATTAGTAGTGAACATGATCTCATTCTCAAATAATAACTTAGGAATAAGGCAATTATGACTTCTTGGGCAATATATAGATAATGTTTTAGATTTAAATCTTGCAGGAGAAGGTGAAAATAAAGAATATTCCAATGCATGCTTTTGATAAAGCACGTGCAAAGCATCTTGGGGCATTTTTATTGATTAGGTAAGAGGATGATGATTGAAATTAAAAATAATGACGAAGATGAGTGAATGATAGTACAAATGAGGATAAGGGAGTCAAAAAAGTAATGAAGGAAGTTGGTGATTCTAATAAATACATTTTAAGCGATGGAAACTTAAGAAACTTTTAAATTTGGAGTTCCAAATCATGACCATTTAATTTCATGGCATGTTTGTTTGTTTAATTTTATCTAAGTATTCTTGCTTATTATTGAGTGCTTGTATGGCTTCATATATTATTATGGCACCATTTAAAACTTTAACTCTTAAATTCTTTATTTTTAATATTTTTAAGGTAATTTAATGATCTTATTTAGAGGCTTATGCTTTGCTTGATGAAAAGAAAACTTTTGAATACAAGTTTGCATAATTTAATTGTCGGTAAGTAAAAAATTGGCATGTCTTTGATTACCATTTTTTTCAATCATATTAAAATTATAAATGAAGTAACTTCAAATGAAACGGCAATGCCATTTGCACTAGAAGTAACGGATAAAGTATGAATCAAGAAAGTTATACATTGATTTGAAATTGTTTCACTTGCTGAGTAAAATCAATCACACAATTATTCAATAACTAATATAGAGCAAGGTAAAAAGTAGGAGGGTTCACCAAAAGCAAAAGTGAGCCTCACGTCTGTGCGAGGAGGTAATCTCTCCTAGAAATCTTGAAGCCTCTCATTTTAATAAGGAATTGAATCTTAGAGATAGAGGAAATATCAGATCCATCTAGAATTCTATTCAGAACAAAATTGACTGCATTTTGTACGTTGCCTTATATCCCTATTTGCAATCACAAAATCCTTGTTTATTTCCCAATGCATCGATCAAAGCATCCCATAAGTGTCATATAATTGTTATTGAAAATAGAGCAATCTCGACAGTAGAAGAAGCTACAAATGTTTAAGCACGTGACTTGCTGAAGAAACCATTTTTCAATAATTTCAATCAGGGAAAACAAATGCAGATATCTCAATATCCAACTGCAATTATAGCAGAAATCATCTTTAGAGAAGAAAGTTGACTATTTGCCAGAGAAGGTTAACATGAAATAAAAAAAGTGAAAAAGGAAAAAAAAAGGACAACAGAATAACCTACGATCACAGAAGCCAACTGAGTCATAGGTACTATGGAACTATTGGAGGAGCCGTTAGCAGTTGCAGAAGCATTTTAAGTCACCAATAAAAGAGTTGGTGGCAGGAGTAATAGAAAGGATTCAACCAAATGGAAGATGAGGGAACGGAGCAGCTCCACATCACCGAGTCTCTTGGTGCTCATCAAAAGCGACAGCTGATATCTTGGAAGGGGTTGTAAATGCTACAGTCTTTGCAAATGGTTTGGTGCCGTGTAGCTAATTTGAGGGTCTAGATCCTTTTTCTGATATTAAAAAGTGATTTGAGGGTGTAGATCTTCTTTCTAATAGTAAAATTACTTTAATGTGATGCTTTTGCTAATATTTCTTTGTCTAACATTGTCAATAGGTTTCTGTTCGACAATCTATTTATTAAAGAACCAATAATCTTCTCTGTTCCCATGATCTTTTTTGTTTTGTACACTGTGCTGTACATCTATGCCAATATTTTGTTGTTTTGTTTAGGATCTGTGACAGACTACGTTTTATATTTTCTTAATGCAGGTAGGGATTGTATTTGAAGGGATGAAGTTCCCTTTGTGGTTGCATGGGCACATGGTTGTTGAGTTTACTGTTGTTTCAGTTTCTCCTAACAAACCGGTAGGTAAGGGAATTTTTTTTACTCCACTGCCTTGCCTCATTTATTGATGGTTTTAAAATGTCGACCATGCTTTTCAAACTTAAGGAGTTCCAGTTTTTTCCTGCTTATTTGTATTTTTACAGAAATACTACAGTTGCATGTGACTTCTGTTTTATCTTCATTAGAATAATCAATTCTTGTCAAATTGTTAATCTTAACCTCATAGGATCTAATAGCAAGCTGCAATATGGTAAATGTGAATCGGGACACAAGAATTTCAAGCACTTATGGTGTGCCTTTGTTGAAGTTGGTTAATATTTTTAATTAGAAATTTGGCTACGGTTCAATCATTTAGTCGGCAATGCAGGTTAAGTTTCTTTAATGATATTTCACCTTGACTAATCGATAAAGTTCACCTGTTTAATAACCTTTATTAGATTTCTTCAGAAATAGTCAGTAATGACGCTTCATCGAAGTAGAGAGGTGGCATCTAGCCCTCAGACTAATGCTCATTTGGTGGCAGTTTCTAGCACAGTTTGAAACATGTGAAATTACAAATATTGATGAAATCAGTAAACTTTGTTACCAGACAATGGAATGTAAAACAAATCCATAAACCTAGAGAATCCTAAGAGAATGATTTATGCTACAGTTATTACCATGTAATGCATACACCATGGGTAGGTTGCAGAATGCCATGTTTATGCAGGCTTACGTGTTTGTTAAATTCAAGCAGGATTAGTGCCAAAATTGTTTGATTTCATTAAAAGAAATCAAATCGAAGACAAGATACTTTCTGATGATTAGCCTGCTTAAATGACATTCAATTATAAGGAATAGAATAAATTAATGGGAGAAGAGTCTTGGCGATTACCCTAAAGACAAAATGTAAGTTTTTCATCTTGGTACTGTGAATGCTTTTATCTAAGGGAAATTACTTTGCTGTTAATACCATGTTTAGATTTTAAGTAGCCTATCATTCTCACCCTCATCCGTATAAGTAGACTTGATAATTAAATAGTTTTTGTAGCCTTGCAATTGGAGTCCTAGACTGCATTCTTAATATAAGTATTATTTTTTTATAAATCCATGCCAATTTATTCACATTAAGCTTGTTTCCCCGTGTATATACTGATTTTACTTAGCTACGATCATAAATCTTGCCCATGGAGCCATATTTCCTTGCACTATTGCATCAACCGTTTAAGTCTCGACCCCTCTCCAAGTCGTAGCTATTCCTTGATTTTTCTTTCTCAAGTCTTTCAATCACGCTTCTCTTCTCCTGTTGTCTCTTTCTCTCAATTTATTTCTCTAGCTTTTGCTCTAGTTCTGCTTGCCTTCTTTCTCTCTCACTCAACTTGTCTTTCTCACTTCCTTTCTCTCTTCCTGCCATCACTACCACCTTCCACACTCATTGTAATCAAGACTCCTTTCCACTATTCTCCACCTACTACTCACATCTCGTCTCTTCTCACGGTCTCTTTTTCTCTCATAATAGTTGCTGTAAATGCTCTCACTTCTCTCACTCATGATCTATTTCATAGTTCTTATGAGATTGTCTCTCAAGCTAACTTGCCCAACACTCTTAATCTCTTTACGACCCAACAACAATTTCAGCCATAACATCCCTCTTTTTTTTTGTTCAACCAAAATTAATGGAATTAATTGATATTATGGTTTATAGAAAGATAAATATCTTATGTATTCAAGAAACTAAATGAGTTGGAGAAAAGGTCAAGGAGATTGATAACTTCGGTTTTAAACTTTGGTATTTAGGTAAGAGTCGCACTAGAAATGTTATAGATGTAATTATAAATAAGAGTTTGAAAGAAAATGTTGTAAAAATCAATAGAATTGTTGATAGAGTTATAGCCCTTATGATTATTGTTGATATTAAGATTTTTAACATTATAAATGCAAATATTTTTCAAGTAGGTTTAGATATAGAGAAAAATTATGGAATGATCTAGAAAACTAGTTACAAATGATATACCTCTTAACGAAAGAATTTTTATTGGAGTAGATTTAAATGGACATGTCGGTAGAGTAGAGAAGATTTTAAAAATATTCATGGTGGCTACGATTTTAGAGTGATTAATGAAGAAGGTAGAATTATATTAGAGTTTGTTTTAGCGTATGATCTTGTTATTGCTAATATTTTATTCAAGAAAACAGATGAATATATTATTATTTATAAGAATGAATCTAATAAAATAATATATATATATATATATTGTAATTTTATTATTAATAAATCTAATTTTATTATATAATCAATCTAATAAATCTAATTTTATTATTTATAATAATGAATCTAATAAATCTAATTTTAAAATAAAATAAATCTAATTTTATTTTATTATATATATTTATTATTATGTAAAATAATAAATCTAATATATATATATATATATATATATATATATGAGAAGAAGGGATATTTAGAGAAGAAGGGATCATTGAGAATGTAAGGATTTAAGTACTCAATATCGATTATTAGTTCTAGATTTTAAGATAAAGAGTTTTAAAATAAAGAATACTAGGAATAATTGTTGTAGAATTAGATACGAATAAAATTATTTTTACGAGTAAACTTTAAGATTTTAAGATTTGAGATGTTCATGAAGATACAAATTCTATGTGTGATAAAATAACAAACACTATTAAATAAGTGACAAAAGATGTACTTGAGAATCAAAAGAAAAAGTTTCTATAAATAAATATAGTTGTTGATGGAATAATAATACATAAGAAAAGATAAAATATAAAAATTTATATTATAAAAATTAGTTTAAATATAAAAGCTTAGAGAACTGGGAAAAATATAAAATGACCTGTAGTGAGTTTAAGAGAACAATCTGTGACGCTAAAAATTATACTTTCAGTGATCTTTCTGATAGATTAGATACTAAAAAGGGTGAAAAATTTATGTATAAACTTGCCAAACAAAGACAAAAGTAAAAAAGTTAACTCAAGTAAAATGTATTAAAAATGAAAATCAAAAAGTGATTATGTCCGATGCGTTGACTACTATAGTGAGTAGATGTTAGAATCAGCTACCCATCAACAGATTTCTAGACTGGTGGGTTGAACCTCAACTCTGAAATGTGCCTTAGGAGCCTAAGGGGAATGAAAATTCTTTATTGAGATCCAGTTCCCGTCACTGAAGAAGATGTCTCTCATGGTCGTTAGTGATAGTGACACAACCTGCTACAGATTTCATCCCAGAATTTAGTTTGCCTCACATAATTGTTACTCAACAACCGTACGTTGGACACGAGAAGTGAGAAAATAAGATTTCAGATGTAAGGGCTCAAGAGATGCATGGGGGGAACCCACCTCTATATACAACTCTCGCTTTGGAGGTGCCAAAAGAGGACGACCACCTATGATACCAAAATGTGTTGTGGAATAGCAAAACCGACATGATTGATCTACAAAGGGACTTAACGACGTACCATGAGGATCCAGGAGCTTTGACGAATGAGGACGTAGCTCTCCAACCCCGGGAAACTAAAGCAGGGCACTAAAAGGTGCCCCCGTAGCAGAGTGCTAACAACTCCTCTAACGCGAGACCTTAAATGCCACCCGATTGAACTGACTGGCCAACTTCCTCACTGGTCCAGAGGGACCGACCCAAAACACTATTGCGATGGATCAAGGCAGAATGATTGCGAGTTCCGTGGAGAAGGCGGGACTACCTCCCCTCTTCACGTGCTCTTCCCCCTTTTGGAAAGCCTTAATGGCTATTTTCTGGAGTATTCCTACCCCTTCGTCTTGTGTAGGAGTTTTCTTTCCTACTATTCTTTTCTCTTCCTATAGAAGTTGTCGGCAGGGAAAAGGGTGAATGGGTGGATTGGGGGAGGAGTCGCCCGTGAGAAGCTGTCGGTCACCGGAATCGAAATCCCGACGCCCGCTTCGGAAGGACGTTTTAATTCACATATAGATTTAAGTTTAAAATCAAATATGAAAATCAAACTGATCCCATATTTTTCATAGTTTAAATGAAAGAACGCTTTACCTCAAATCCTGTATCTATCCCGAGGAATAAACACAAGACTTGAGGATGAAGCTCGATCAGATAAATTAAGATATATATGACGTCCGTTTGGTCTGCGAAACCGTTTTATTTGCCGACAAATTCTCCTATTTAATATGAAAAATTAAATAGGGTTTATTTTAAATTGAGTTCGGAAAAGCTCCCTATAAGGGCAAGCCCCTATAGTTAATTACATCTCAAATGACCGAAATCACTTAAAAATACTCTCGATAAAAATCAGAAAAAATTATCTTCAAGGACTTTAAAAGGATAAGACTTTTCAACGAAATTCAAAGAGGTGTGCAAAAGA